AGCTTTGTGAAACCTTCAATCCCACCCCATACATACTTCCTCCAACAAGGCTTCCAATCCTTCTGATCATTCCAATTAATTCCATTCCCTGGTGACTAAACCTCCATAGTCCCTCTTAACTCCATGTCACTTCTGCAGCTTCAGGAACCCACAGATACATATGGAAAGTTACAGAAGCCAGCAAACCATAGTTTTAAATAGCCCCCCCCCCACATCTCACTTTACAACCTTGTCTCTCTATATAGACCAGGATAGTTTGGACAGAGATCTACCTGCCTCTATCTCTTGAGGGCTGGAATTAAAGACCTGGACCAAGTTGTAAATAGCTTTTCTTTATTTATTTCTTACTTCTTGTTATTCTAAGTGTTTTTATTTTAGCTAGGCACAAACTTTTAATTCCAACACTTGGGAGGTAGAGGCAGGAAGATTGTGAGTTAACCTGGGTTACATAGTGAGATTGTGTCTCTAAGTGAAAATCCTTAATGCTTTACTACTGGATCTTACTGCTAGTCTCTCACTGTGACTGATTTATGAATTAACTTTCTCATGGGTGTGTACAGAGGGAAAACAGTCTATTGTATAGGATTGGGAACAGCCCGGGGTTTCAGGACCCACTGGGGTCTCTGGGACATAGCTGGAGTTACTCCTCCCCTTGGTCATCCAGGCGAGGCTGAGTCAGTCACCTCACACTCACCTGGGCGAATCCAGCAATCCCCTCATCTGTTCATGGCCATCCTCCCAGCAGCCATTGCTCTGCAACCCTGATATGATCAGGATAATGGACCCACCTTTCCATACAGAGCACTAGTGGGGCTTCCATGGTCCCGGGGCATCATGGGAATGCCCCATGGGTTCTGCCTGATTCTTGTCCTGCCCTACTGTTTCTGACCTGCGTGTACTCTGGACATTCAAGCAGGAGCACTGGATCATACCACAGACATCCTGGCTTGATGAATGTGCCCTTCCCCAGGGAAACACTCCACAGTACAAATCAGGAGGTCATCCCACTATCCTTGGGGCCTCGTGGTTTGAGGAAGCCTGTGGAGACTTCAAAAATGGGAGGGAGGATTGGTGTTCTGATGGGACTAATGCTGCAGACTTCAAGTATTTCCAGGGAGTGATTTCTACCCTTGCCACTCACAGGTATCTGCCGGCCTCTTTGCAGAAATGGAGACAAAATTAACCACCCCTAAAAACCAGGCCAGAGCGTGAGCACTGTGGGGAACTGCTCTTTCCTGTTACATTCCAAATGACTCTATCATCCAAAAGAAAGGGGGAAAAGTGGAAAATAGCATCCTTTAAAACCATCTATTTCCCCCTTTCTTGCAGCTGCCCTTTTGGTGGAGTGTTATGGAATCTTAATTTACTATCTACGGGTCATTTATTTCTTTTATTCCTTTTAATTCTATCTTTCATTCCTCTCTAAATTGATCATTTAAAATCAATGTGTTCTTTGTCCTCTGAGGCTGTCTCCCGGATCTGTGACTTCTGAGTCCCGGCTCTGTCTTCCCATCTATCTTTGAGGAGGCTTTGATGGGACTTCCCAACAGCTCCTTGCAGAGCACTGCTCACAGCTGGGAGCCTCTGAGATTGCTATTCCTGGGAGGAGTGTGGCCCCAGGATTTAGGAATGATGCCCGGGAGACTGCAGCACCCTCATATTGCTCCAAGGATGGCATCATTGACCCTTCTGTCCCACAGCGGCACTGGAAGGGAAGACAGAGCAGAGGGTGGACCTTAGGGTGGGAAAACTGGAGGGAAGGCAGGATGAACATCTGGAACTCCCAAGCTTCTTCTAGGACTGGGGAGAGAACACACTGGGAAGAGTCCCACGCCACAACTTCTCTCCTGCAGGTCCTACACTATGGTAAAGCCAGGAGACCCAGGCTTAGCAGATGTTCTGCGAATCAACTGGAATCTATGAGCCACAGAATGGGCTTCCATGGAGCCTGTGAGAAAAGCATAATCTGGTCCTACACCCAAGACCGGCCTCTCAGAATCTGCATAATCACGCCTTCTGGTGGTGGCATCTGTGCCCTTACAATTTGGGAATCATGGGGCTGCGAAACAGAGCAGGTAGCGACTCTCAGGATCCCAGGAGGTGATATGGCCAGCAAGGGCCAGCAGACAGGCAGGGGCTACTCAAAGTGTGGCCTGTACACCAGTGCTGTTTGCCACCATCTTCAGAACAGAAATGGAGGCCAGTGCAAGCTCTTCCAGCTGACGATGCTGGGAAGTTCGAGCCCATCTGGTTTGCATGCACAGGGGTGACTCTGTAAAAGTTAGTTCACAGCATACTGAAAGTGGAGAGGAAAGAAGCCTTTCTCACGGATGGGCCAGAAGCATGGAGAGTCAGATGGAGGCAGTGGCTGGAAACAGCTGGCCTGGGGGCAGGGAAGGGAAGCTGGTTTTGAGGATTTCTCTGATGGGACACTGTGCAATAGGGAACAGGGGGGAGTGAGGCAAAGCTGATGCTGGGTCCCTGCCCATCTTGGCTATAGCACATCTAACCACATGAGAAGACTCTGCCCACAGAGGTCTACAGTGCTCCAGAACTTTTTTCTCTCAGAGAGCCAGATGTGGGAATCCAGGTCACCTCTGTGCTACCACTCTCCCCTGCGACTCTTTCACTTTCTGGACACTGCTTGTGAGGATTCAGGCATTATGCTGGGCTGCCCCTGGCAAGTGTACTCAGGCAGTACCCTGGTCAGCCCAGGTGCAAAGGACCCCTTTCAAAGAAAGACCTCTGCTCTCTCCACTCTCTTTCTGCTGAATCTTTTCCCTCTCTTTCCCGAGGTTCTCCTGAGGCAGACAGGACCCTTCCTGTCTCCCTCTCTCTTCTGTCCTCTCTCTGTCTCTCTGTCTCTGTGCCTCTTTTCTCTTTCCTCACCCCCCTTCCCTTTCCAATCAAGCTTCTCACTTAAGCTCTGTCTGCCTGGCATGTTTGTTGTCCCCATCCCCCCTTGGCCACCGTTGTCCCCTTGTGATTTATCCTAACACTGCAGTCGGCTTAGGCTGTGACTGCTCTTGTGCCCAGGTGGAGGAATTCAGTGGCTTCTGGGGCAAGAGGCTGTGCTGCAGCCGCCTGCGGGTCCCACTGACCCTGGACCAGAGCCTTGACAATTAAGTCTTTCCTCTGCCAGGCAAGGCAGAGCAGGTCTGTCATCCCAGCACTCAGGAGGCCGGGGGCAGGAGGGCCTCAAGGTCAGTGCCAGGCTATGTAATGAGACCTTGCCTCAAAACAAAACAAACAAACAAACAGAATCTCAAGAGTCTCGAGGCAGACATCAGCCAAGAGCTAACTGGGGTGGGAGGGGCACACGGACTGAGGTGGCCAAGGAGTGCCTCTCTGTAACTGGAGCTCCATGCACTGTGACACGGAGTGTGCTGCTGGTGATGAAAGGGTGATAACTGTGGCGATTATGAGGGCAAGCGGTGATGGAAGTTCTGCATAGATTAACAAATTTGTCCAGTGCTGGCCACAGCCTTAAGCAACAGGAAGTATACGCCTGCTCACCAGATGAGGGGACAGAAGGAAGAACAAGGGACATTGCAGACCTAAGCAGCCAGGACAAGGTGGAGCCACAACTCAGTAGAACCTGAGGCCCAGGCAGATGCACGCATCACATCCAAGGTGCCTGGTCCCACCTGCCACCCACCAAGGCCCTGATAGCTCTTCAGGCGGTAGCTTCTGCCATCCCTTAAAATGTGAACAAAAAAAGCAAAGTATTTCCCTGGAAACCTCTACTCAAATCAAAGATGGGTCACCTCATGACGTTTGCAGTTGTTTTCAAACAAGAGCTTGATGTCCCCGGTGGGATGTTGTGGGCAGGCAGCCAGGGTTGGAAGCTACTGTGTGGGGACAGCAGAGGCTTGGAGGCTGAGGTGACACTCGACCTGACAACCTGAGAGCCAAGGCCTAGCCTGCGGGCCTCAGTGCCATGTTTTTCCTCTTTGCTTTTCTTTTTCCTCCCCTTAACCGTCATTGAGACAGTGTTTCTCTCTGCCTCAGCGTCCTGCTGGTTTGCTCTCACAGACTCAGTTCTGGAAGATTCCCCAGTGAAGTCCCATATCTGCAGGCTCTGCAGGGACACAGCAGAACTTGTACCTTAATGGGTTAAGCCTTAAAGTGGGTCTGGCTGAGCACTTGACCACTCTGCAGCTTTCTGGGGCTGAGTGTCTGCTTCCAGCAGGACAACACAGGGACATCTGGAGACCTGGAACACTGTGGAGCCCAGTTCATCAGTGACAAGGCAGTGTGACCCTGTAACACCAGCTACCCCAAACCTCATTTTATGTGTTGGTGGGTGCATCAGTGGTCATTGATGTATTCGTGATGGCAGCCACCACAATGTGGTCTCTGCTATGTTTGTAATAGCAATCACTAGTGCACCTCTGTAGTTGGTTCAAGTACTAAAGGCCAGGACATGGCACGGTATGAGAAAGGAAGCAATCCAGGAGGAAATGAGGAGAGAGTGTGAGGCTAGCCCACATGGGGTTTTAAACTCCTAATGGGCAACTTTAGCAATAGCCAAGGTGAGACCTACTGGGCTCAATCAGGGGCTGACAACAATCAACCTACTGACAGGACTTTATTTTACATATGTATGTATGTATGTATGTATGTATGTATGTATGTATGTATATATGTAGTGTGCCCCCTTCCTCCCTCTCTTCCTTCTCCACCTCCTTCCCTCCCCACTCCTATCTACCCCCCCCCGTGTGTGTGTGTGTGTGTGTGTGTGTGTGTGTGTGTGTGTGTAAACCCTGGCTATGTGGATGCTTACCGATTGCTTTGTGTCTCAGTTATCCCCTGAATGCCTCAGTTTTCTATCCATAAATGGGAACGTGGTACCCATCCCTCAGGGCCTGGGTAAAGGTCTGTGGGCACAGATGGAAATCTGTGTTGAAAGTGGGCACTGTGCTCCTCAGGCCATGGGTGCCCACAGCTCCGCCTGCCCTCTCATTCCAGCTTTGGGGTTTTCTTTCGCTTCTTTCCAGGATTGAGAAGGGGGATGTGAGTGAAGAGGAAGACTTCCGCCTCGCCTGCCGCCACGAGAGATACCCTACCCGTAAGTGCTTGCTGGACTGACAGGGGGCTGGGACCCCTGCAAAGCACCCTCCCCTAGACACACACCACAGACTAAGCTGAGGCTGGCAGCTCCAGGCCTGGCCTGACTTCACCAATGGCCTTTGAGAGTAGCCCTGGGTGGGATCTGCTGAGGCAGGGAGGGGACAGATTTGCTTGGGGGCTTAGAGTGCATTTACTTCACCTACTATATGCTGATGGACATATTAAGAAGGATGCAGGGCAGCCCTAAGAACAAGTGTCAGCTTCAGCCATCAAAGGGAGGCAGAGCCGCAGAGCCGAGAGCCTTTCCCACATGGGAAAAGAACAAGCCGCCGAAGATGGTAGGTGAGGCACAGACGTCTCAGTGAGCTACTTTTCCCTGCCTGTTTCACCATGTGGGCCTCATCTCATGACCCTGCTAACCCTAACTCCCACTGGTAGGAAGCTTAGCAGATGACCAAATTAAACCACAGAGAGGTAGAGTAACTTGCTCCAAGCCACACAGCCTTGTTAGTCAGCATATACCTCTTAGATCTTTTGAGATGCTCTAGAGGTTTCCATCTATGCCTGAGTCACTATGCTAGAAGGCCAGGAGTGCTGGGAGCGGAATCGGAAGTCCAAGTCCTCCACCCTCAGTGCTCTCCTCATTCACATCATCTGTACCTATGTGCCTGCCTGCCTGCCTATCTATCTATCTATCTATCTATCTATCTATCTATCTATCTCACAATCATCTGTCTATCATGTCTCTATCATATATCTATCATCTATCTATGTTTCTATTTATCTATCATCTGTCATCTATCTTTTGTTGGATCCACTGCCTTTCTTGTCTGATGGAGGTGTCTGTTGACCTTTCTACCTTTGTCTACCTTTGTCTCTTGCTTCTCTCTCCATACACATGCCTCAGCAGTGAGCTCAGGGTCAGAGGTAGAGGACAGTGCTAGCTGAAGGAAGGTCAGCTTTGAGGCTGGTCCCTTTTGCTTAGGTGACATGGTAGTGGTCTGAATGTGGTCATAGAGAAGCATGGATTTGAGAACTTCTTGATGGCATTGTCAGAGAGCTCAGGCTGGACTTCTCTGGGAGCAGACCCTGACACCCCCCCCAACAACACACTCTCTTTCACACACACATACACTCATACTCATTCACACACATGCATACTCATACACATACATTCACACATATTCACACACACACTGGCAATGACAATAAGAAGGCTGCATCCACAGAACTGTTTCATTTAGGGGATCCAAATATCACAAGTTGGAATGGGGATGGGACTCAAGAAAGAGGCAACCCATGGTTCCAGCAGAGAACATCAGGGCAATGGCACAGGCCTGGTACTGCCCTGCTGTGACGAGTTCTACAGGTTATGAGGGGGCTGCCAGAGCGTGGAACCATGAACTAGCTAGCAGGCACTTGGCAGGCATGCCTCCATGAGCACACATGTTAGAGCAAGGGCAGGGAGGAAGGGGCTCTGGGTTGCACAGAATTTCTGTAGGAGCCTTCAGAGGTGTGGGTGACTGCCAATGGAAGAGTTTGGTAAGAAGCCTCGAGGCTTTGCAGGTGTTGAGTCAGAGGGCTGTGGCAGGGGGTGATGGGGGCTGTGTGGTATCTCTGAGGTAGAGGCTGGATAGAAGGATGTCACAGGCCCATAGGAGGGATGTGAACTGGGAACTACAAGATCATCTGTAGAGAAGGGCAGGCGCAGAGAGCTGTGCCCTAGGGCTCCAGGGAGTGAGTATGGAAGGCTTCCTCTACCCTGGCTTCACAGGGGAGAAAAGAGCCTCAGGGCATGAGCATCTCTGTCCATGTATCTCCACCAGGGCAGTTAGTAGAAATGGCTGCATCCCTGGGCCTTGTGGGGACCACCAGAGTAAAGAGGATGGATACCCATGTCAGAGCAATGAAGGAATCAATTTATCTGAAGAGGCTGTTTCTATGATGCAGGAAAGGCAATCACTTGTCCCTTTACTCAGTTATTCATTCATTCACTCTCGTATTTATTCACCCATTTTTTTTTTCATTCATGAGTCATGGGCTTCTGTGGGCCCCAGAGGCAGAGAGACAAGCAAGGCCAACTTTGGGACCGCAAAAGTTTTCATGCCTGTAGGACAGCAAGACCCATTCTATTACTGCATAGTGTAGCCAGAGTCATGGTGGGGTCCCTGCTAATGTCCCCAGACACACCAGAGTGTGGCATATTATCTAGGACACAGTGCAGGGGTTAGAGAGGATGACCTCTCTCAGTTAGAGTCAATTCAACCACCTAACACACAGGATAAGGAATCCTGGGGAGGTTAAAAATAGCTCTGGGCCAGGCATGGTGGAATATTCCTATCATCCCAGAAAATCCTAAATTCGAGGCCAGCCTGGACAGAATAGTGAGGCCCTGTCTCAGCAAACCAAAAGACTGGGCTCATCTGACATCATATAGTCAAGCAGTGTCAGAGCGGATGCAGGCTCAGTGGTATGGAGGAACTGTCTGCGTGGATCTGTCTCCTCTGGCTGGGTCCTGAGGATGGGGGCCCAGCAAGAGTAGAGCGCTAACAGCATAGAGAAGCAGCTGGGCCCCAGTACCCGGCCTCTTAGCGGCTGTGGGGTTGCTGCCCAGAAAATATTTTGGAACCGCCTGGGTGAGTTTTGCAATATTTCCTCATGAAGCAGCTGCTCAGATCCTGCCAGGGACAGCTTGCTGGCAGGAGGCATGGGGGAGGAGGGTGTCAAGGAGCCACATTATTAAACACTTGCTGTGTGCGCTCTGCAAAGCTCCTGCCTGCTAGCTCTTTGATGCCTGATCCAGAGGACAGAAGAAGGAAGAATTACCAGGCAACAGCAGAGACCTCACTTTATCCAGTCTGAAATGAAGACATCCAGCCTGGCATGTAGACATTCTGCTCACTGTGGGCTCCAGAGCATGCCCCAGGGCCCCCACCTCATCACCTTCCTCTCTCCCTTCCCTCTTGCCGCTTTAGGCAGCAGCTGCACCACGCTAAGCTACTTCACTTCTTGGGGCCTTGGTACTTGATCGCTGTGCCCCTCCCCAAAGCTCTGTGTGGCTCGCTTTGTCTCTTGGTCTGTGGTCTAGTTTCCCAGTTGCCCTCCACCCCATGCTTTTCTTTCCAGCATTTGTCCCTCCCTGACTTAACATTTTATTATGCACGTGGCTCCCATTTCTTGCTTCTCTCTGACAAACACCTTGTCCGTCTTGTCTGTGTCTATAGCCTAAGTGCCCAGATTAGTGAGGAGCATACAGTCGGAGCTCAGTCGTTACCTTTGCACCCCGTGTGCCTCCCACCACTTCTCAGAGCAGCTACTCCAGCACAAAGAGTTACATAAACTTTCTTTCACTTCTCCTAACTCCTGCCAAAGTTGCTGCTCCCCCCCCCTCCCCGCCCAGTTCTTCTATGATATAGATTCTGCCATTGTGGTTTTTTTTTTTTTTTTTTTTTTTTTTTTGGCTCCTGGGAGAGGCTACCTTTGAAACCTGCCTTTGGGGGCTTTGCAGTGCCACCAGCTAGCTCTTGGAGCACATCCGGTGTGACATTTGATAGAAGCGATGCTGCCACCTGATCTGGGTATCTACGTCATTCTCTGGGGCAGTTGGGGTTTGCAGCTCATGGCTCCTGTCAAGTCCAATGCTTGGGACAAGCTCTTGATTTGCCAGGTGTGTCTGTGAAGCAGGGCTCTGCCAGAGCTTGTTGCTCTCTGAGCACAGAGGCAGCTTGTGGGAACTCTGTCTAGATGTGCTTCGGCTACAGCTACCCTCAGAACAGCAGAGTGAATTTTAAGGGAGACTTTTTTTGTGGACCCAGAGCAACTTGGCATTTTGATTATATCAAAATCAAATTTAATAGAACACATCCAGAGTTACTTCCATTATTAAAATGGAGGCAGATCAAACCATATTTTCAAAATAAATATCAAGGCCAATTTGCTGGGCACAGACAGGTATGCAGCTTGAGGACATCTGAGACCCTGCCATCTGGAGGTCAGGGGTCCCAGCTGGTATCACACTTGGGTGGAGAGTTAAATAAAGAATGATCTGTGCTCAAGATGGGGTTCTGCACTTTGGTTTGAGGCAGAATCTCATTGTTAGCCCAGGCTGACCTCAAACTTGCAGTCTTCCTGCCTCCACCTCCTGGACTGGGATGACAGGTCTGTGGCTCTGCTGGCACCATAGTTAGCATTTCAAACAGTTTTCCTGTGCTGGTGGGGCCCACTGGCCACAGACCCAGTTCAGAGCGGTTCCTGCCTGCAGCAGTCTGCCTTGGTCACAGGCTGGACTATTTAGCAACTTGAAGGTGGAAATTGTTGCTTCTAGGGTCAATCTCCTCCATCTATTTTGTGAGACGCGAGCCTGACTTGTCTTTCCAGCTCTGGAACTAGGTCCCTCCCTGCCAGGGCATGGGTGGCACAGCACTCCCCAGGAGCCTCTTCCCTCTTGCCTGTTGCTTACTCCCCTCTCTCTGATCCCCTTGCTAACTTGCTCATTTGCACTTTCTCCCCACCAGAGTGTTGATATTGCCAGCACAGGACCCCAGTGCCATACCCACAGGGATAGTTCAGTGTATCCACTGCAGTCTTCCTGCATTTCTGGTAGTGACGTATCCTACTTGGTCCCTGTGATGTCAGACGCATTATGTCTTGCAGCAAAGGAACTTGGCTCTTGGGACTGTCATTTGGCCCAGGTCACAGGCCTGACCAACTCTAAACTATCCAATGCTGATGTTTCTCTATTTGCCTGATTTTTGGCCTGAGGCAGTAGTATTCTAGTCATGCCTGTTGATAAGAAGCACTTTGGGACTCTCATTAAAACACAGGTTGCTGCAGTGCAGAGTAGTTCATGCCTGTAAGCCAAGCACAACTAAAGCAAGATTACAAGTTTGAGGTCAGCCTGGGTGACATAGTGTCTCACTATGTCTCAGAAGCAAAGCAAACAGAAGAATCTATACACTTCCCTGGAGAGTCACTTCCTTGGTTTGAGATGTGTGTTGAGATGCTTATAAAGTATGATGATATGTCTTATGACAGACTCCTAAAGCCTTAGAGATGGGATGAGTGGGTTCAGTCGCCTCTTCTCTCTGTTGCTGTGTGTTGCTTGCCTTCCCCCAGTGACAAGACTGCCGGGCACTCACACCTCCTAAAAGCTTTCCAGCCTGCCAAGAATCTGTTTTATGCCTTGTTACCTCTGCCTGAAATGATCTGTCCCTGCCCTCCAACAGGGCAGTAAACAAACTGCAGTGGAATCTGGAGCTATTGCAAAATCCAGCTGCAGTGTCGGGAATGGCCACTACTACCTGGTGTCCATGGAGAGTTGGGAAGAGTGAAAGGAAGGACATGTTAGGTTTCCATTTCTGTGACAAAACACCTTACAGAAGCAGCCTAGAGGAAGGTTGGTTTGGGCTCACGGTTTCAGAGGGGTCACAGCTCTATTGCTGTGAGCCTGGTGAGACAGAGCATCATGCTAAACTGGCATGGGAGGAAAAGACTTGATACTTTTGGTGGTCGGGAAATAGAAATAGCACAGGGCTAGGGCCAACATACCCTTGAATGGCTTGCCCCCACGACCCACTTCCTTTAAGCAGGGTCCACCTTCCCCAGGTTTACCCCTCCCAATAGTCTATGCAGATTTTTAATTCATCAGTGAATTAACTGGATGCATTAGGTGAGAGCCCTGGTGATCTAGTGGTCCCGGAAACACATCCTGATCAGGCACCCTGATCTCCTAGGCATCTCTCAGTTTAGTATATTGACAATCAAGATATCATGGTCCTTGTAAGTCCAGGGTTTAGGATGAGACTTCTCAAGTTCAAATCCTAGTGCTGACACCTTGGACAAATTACTTTCCCCAGGTGAGCTTTGGTCCCTCAGCTATGGACGGGTACAGCAACAGCCAGTACCTGCCTTACGGGTGCAGATCATGAGCTGGTTCCAGATGACAGGGGCAGCTGTGGTAGGGCTGCTGTCATTTCTCATAGCCATGCCGGTCTCCATCCCCGCCCTGTAAGCATCTAGAAGGCAGTCAGTGGCTCCCAGATGCATGATTTGGCAGCCTGTCTGACTGGGGACTTGCTTAATAAAAGATCCTAGGGGTTGGTGGCTTTGGGGAGATGCATAGACTCAGTCTGACCTCAGGTATGAGGTAGAGAACAGGCCTGTGATGGTTCAAAGGCACCGGCCCCCAGCAAAGCAGGGTAAACACGTCCTTCACGACATGCCACCTCCCTTTCACATGGGTCCATGTGAGCCTGTTCTTTGTCCTGAACCTACATCACTAATTCATTCAGCAAACATGTACCATCAGCCTGGGGCCCGTGGCTGGGAGCCCACTGTCCGTACCAGCAGAGCTGGCCTTTGTCCTGCTGTGATACGCAGCCTAAAAGAAGAGACAAGGAGGAAATGGGGACTGATATTCCCAACGTCATAGTGCATCTGAAGCTCTATTTGACTGAGTATGTGCACACATTAACACCCACACACATGCACATTCAGGCTCATGCACCCACTCCCTCCACATGTGCATACACATGTACCACACACAGCACACATGCACATCTGAGCATGTGCATCCACATCCACATCCACACATGTTATATAGCCCAAGTCTGATAGAGCATAGACTTGAACCTTTGACCACCATTGGGCCTAAGTATAGTTTTACCCCCTTAGCCTGAATCAGAGGAGGAGGGGCTGGACAAAGAGAGAGAGAGAGAGAGAGAGAGAGAGAGAGAGAGAGAGAGAGAGAGAGCATCTATTATCACATACACATGTCAGGTAGCATGGTGTAGGAGGGTATCCCCAAGCCCAGAAGCCCCCATCCCCTCTGCTTGGCTTCATTTATTAAGAAATGTCAGCTTAGGACTTGTTTGTGATCAAGCCAAGGGCCAGTAGGTTATGGGCTCCCATCTGGGCATATAGATGGCTCCAGCCCAGGTAAGTTGCACTGAAAGGCAGGGGTGGGTCAGGAGCACATCAGGGAAGGGTCTTCACCCAGGGGTCCTTCAGTGTCCCCAGGAGAGAGAGTATAGGAAATACGGGATGGCGTGGGGATAGAGCGGCCAGAAGGCATTTCCAGCTGGAGGACAGGGTGTGGGGGACCACAGGACAGAGTCCATGAACACAGGCTAGAACACGGCAGGCAGCACAGACAGCCTCCCTTGGGTCAAGGCAGTCTTTGTGGCCTATAGTATCACACTGTCATCATTTAAAGCCAGACAGTTTTATTTTGAGATCAGAAATTTCAGTTTCTCTGAACCTTCTGGAAGATCTGAACCCGGTTTCCTGTGGTAAGGTTGGCTAGAGTGCATCAGGCTGCTTCTGTGCCCATCACCCACTTGTGATACGGTCTGGGGTTCCCAAATCCCAGCGCCAGGCCTTTCTGCCTGATGATGGCCTCAAAGTGAAGGAATCAGGAGAAAAGGGGGGAGGGGAGGAAGGGAGGAGGGAAGGAGGGGAAGAGGGGAGGAGGGGAGGGCTTTGTAGGGCTGGTGAGACACGCCAATGGCTCTGGGCCCTGAGCACCTTCTGGAAGGTGAGAGAATGAGGGGAGCCCCAGTCCATGGTGGGGTGGCCACACAGAGCGAGGGGTCAGAAAGCCTCATTGTATCTCTGGGAGTGAGGTGGATTCTGCCTGCTCTTCCTAATACACACCACCTTCTCCATTCCCATTCACCATTCTGCCTGCTAGTTCCTGTGAGAGCAGCTACAGTCATTTCTAAATACTCATTTAGAAAAACAGTCAAGCATTTCTATGCACCAAATATTTGCTTCTCATTAAGAGAGTGGGTGGGGGAGAAACAAACAAACAAACAAAAAAAAAAAACCCAAACACCTTTATGTTGGCAACAAGCTCATCCAAAGACTGCTATGTTTTGGTAGCTGGGGCCAAAACAAATGTTCCTCCCCCAAGGCCAAATGATTCCAGAATGTTTGCAAAATGTTTTTGCACTCCTTTAAAAACACAGCAAAATGTACAAAACACTAACATTAAGGAATATTAAAAACAGAAGCCAAAGGAACACAGTGACAGCCGCCTCATGCCCCTCCCAACTTCTGCATCCAGAGAGCAGTTCTTAAAGGCCAGTGCCATGGGATGGAGGGGCAGTGAGCTTTCTGTCCTGAGAGGTATGCAAGTTCCGGTTCTCTGCAAGAGCCATCTGACCCTGAAGGATGCCTGCATGCACTGGAGCTCAGGCTGGAAAGAGCAGTGACTGTTCATGGAGACAGCTGGAATCAGGAAGACAGAGCTGTCTAGCTCCACATGGCTGCCTCAGTGACCCAGCTGCCGACCCATGCTGGGCCTCTGCCCCCTCGTAGATAATATGGGGACGGCATTTTGGTCTGACAGGTGGGGGAGGATGTTAGGGCAGGCTCCCTATAAAGGACCAGTTTGAGCTTGGTCTGGAGGATTCCACTGGACAGTAGGTGCTTGTACACTTGGCAGGGATAGGGATAGCTTGGGCATATCAGAGAGACTTTGAAGAGGCCCCTGAGGGAACATGGGGTTAGATCCAAAAACTAGTCTGGCACAGGAGGGAGAGTGTGGGAGGGGCTTTACGTCCTTCAGCTTGCCAGGTCTCTAAAAACAGGGCAGTGGCAAGTGTTGGGTGGGGACAGTGCAGTCAGGGTCAACTTGGGCTTACCTATGCATACTCACTGTTGGGGGGAGGCATAAAACCTAGGGGGTGTGGAGTTACCCACTCCTAATGCCTCCAGGCCCATGAGTTGCCTGGCTATGAGGCTGGATGGAAAGCTGAGAGATAGTAGAGTAAGGGGCTGGGATGGATGGATGGGTGGGTGGTAAATGGGAGAGGGGGGACTCAATGAGTCTGCTGGAAGAAGGGCTAAAGGGAAGGTTGAAGGAAGTGACTAGATGGTAGGGGTGGAAGGACTTTCAGATATGCACTGTTGAGTCTGTGGACACACATGGGTAGGGCACACAAGACAGTAGACTGCTGGCAGGTGTGCTGGTGAGCGCAAGGGTTAGAGCCTCAATGCCGAGATTACAGGTAGACGCAGGTGTGGAAAGAGTGTTAGTAGGTGTGCAGTGGGGTGGAAGGGGATGCTGGGCTGCAGGGGTGCTGGTGGGGGGAGAGGCACGTTTGGGTGGTTGAGTGGGCCGATGGGACACTTCGGGGTTGACTGGTGGGTGGCTGGTAGCAAGCCCTGGCTGGGGTTCCATGTGCTGGAGAGGGCATGGATGGTGGTGGACAGTGCAGCATGGTGGGTTGAAAGGAGCAGATGGAAGGGAGCTGGCGCTGGGCCAGAGGCCAAGGTGGTGTGGGTGGAAGGGGGCCACCGTCAGCAGCATCTGCTTTGTCTCTTGCAGGCCACCAGCCACACATGGGAGACTCCTGGCCACGGAGCTCAGCTCATGAAGCAGCAGAGTTAAATCGCCAGTGCTGGGTCCTGGGGCACTGGGTGTGATGTGACCCAAGCCAGGCCCTGCCTTCCTGCCATCACTGGCGCTACCCCTCCCACAGGACATGGAAGCCTGGTCTGTGTGCTGTGGACTCAGCTCTCCTGTCATGGAGACACCAGGCCTATACTGCCACCGCTGCCTGGGTCTTGGGACTACAGAGCTGGGTCAGGCAGGCCTGAGGGACTGTCCAGGCTGCACAGAGACTTGGAGACAGTGGCCGCCACCACACTTAGAGTCCCACCCAGCTGGGAAGCCAGGAAGGATGTGGGCATTGACCATTGAATGCTGGACACCCACAGTCAGACCCAAAGCCAAGCAGGTGCCCAGAGGGGCTGGGCCCTGTGGGGACAGGGAGCAGGGATTATTGAAGGAGAGGCAGTGGCTGCCTCTGTGGGAGTCACACAGCAGGCACACAGCAGAGACACAGCAGGGGCTTAATAAATGCTTGTTGAACCTGATCTCTTGCTATGTGTGGGCTGCCTCCCCCATCATCATCCTGCCTTGGAGGTGTGAGCCCTGGGCACAGAGGTCGGGCGGGACCAATCATCCATCGATGAGCTAGAGTCCAGCCTGGTCTGGGGAGGTCAGGATGGAGACAGGTGGATAGAGCAGCCAGGGTCCCGAGCATGGCAGGAGGAGCAGGCCAGGAGCTGGAGGAAGCATGCTTGACTGGGAACCTCAGTAGTGTGACACCACTGGGGACCCTTTCTTCACCCTGTGTCCAGGGCCAGTTTATATAAAACCTCTCAGCTGCCCGGGGATGGGGGGGGGGATAATTCCTGCCTTGATCATGAGAACCTGGGGTCCAGAGAGGGAAGTTTCTTGCTTGAAATTAAAGTTGACATATAGGAAAGTGAATTCAAACTAGACTCACTCCTAGTAAGTCTCCCAAGAGGCCTCACCCTGCCCTGAAGGATTTCTGGAGATTGGCAGAGCGAGGCAGGATGTTGCCTTCTTCATTCACCCACCCATCTATTTAGCCAGCATTCATCTACTATCGTCTACCCACCCACCCACTCATCTGTCCACCCACCTCATCCATACATGATCCATCAGTTCATCATCCACCATTTACCCACCACCCATCCATGTATCATAATCCATTTAGCCAACATCCATCCTATCCACCATACATTCATGATTGATCCATCTACTCATTCATCCATTTAGCAACATGTATCCACTCATCACCTATCCAACCATCCATCCTACCCACCCATCCAGCATTCATCTGTCTATCCATCCATTAACCATGAATACATCATTCATCTGTCTTCAATTATCCATTCACCCATGATTCACTTATCCATTATCCATCTGTCATTCCTCTTGTTAATTATTCACCAATACATCAGCCATCTTCATCATCTAGCTATCCATCCATCCATCTCTCTGCATGCAGGTGTCTTCTATTGTGCCCCTACTATGTGCCACACACACACCGTGGTAGACCCTTGAGATGGGACACCGAAGCTTCCAGAAAAGCAGACAAGTGATGAACTGGGAGATGAAAGTTCAGTGTATGCATGCTAGGTATGGTACCTACCCTGGAGTCAGACTGCCTAGCATCAGGTCCTGTCTCCTCAGCCCCGGTGGCCCTATCTGGCAAACGGGTGTCTTCATTGTATCTACCTCTTATAGCTGCTGGAAGGTGACACAGCCTGGCGTCTGTGAGCATAGGGGGCAGAGCCTGGATCATGGAGAGCACCCTGCCATCAAGTTAACGAGGGGATTTGGGGCTATGAGGCTGAGGCAGTGCCTGTTGGAGACTACACGAAGGATAGGTGATAAGGAAATGACCCACAGGCCATCTTGCTGCTGTCAGGCTGTGGAGGGATGAGCAGGGCATGGGAGGGCTTTCAAATGGTCCAAATGACAAGGGTAGGGGGAAAGGGAGGGCTGTGAGGGTGGATCCAGGCTAGAGAGAGGACCCAAAGCTTCACAAGGGACCCATAGTTTACCCTGGGGGCAGCTGGGTGCTCTGGGCAGAGAGGGACTGGCCAAGGTGTGTAGTATAGGAAGTCACCCCAGCTCTGGGCTGGAGCAGATGACTAAGGCAGGACTACTGTGTCTTTGCAGGGCCCTGAGTGAAACGAGAGTGCTGTGGCTGAAGAAAAGTCTTGTGGAGGGTTAGGTGGCCAATTCAGGAGCCAAGAGGAGAGACTAGTGTGGGAGGAAGAGGCAAGGAAAAAGAGATAAGATTCAGGTCTCTGTCCTGTGTCAGGCTGGGCATCTGGGGACAAACAGTGGACCCCACACTTCTGTGTACATGCATGCCTGTGCTCAGTCACTCTTGAGAGCACCTCTCTTCCACCTTGCATCCACAGGGTGGGTCAAGAGGGTGTGGGGGAGACAAAATTGACCTGGTCAGAGTCCTGCACATTTATGGAGGCCCCAGAAGGACAGCATGGGGAGCTTCAGCACTGGCCTTGTGCAAGTGGGAGCCACGGTCATGGGACCTGAATGTGAAATCTGGGACCACCACAAGGAACCTTGTAGGTCTTGATGGTCATCCAGGGGCCTTGTGAAGTTGGTCACGTGCCCCAGAGGGCCTAGGAAATGATTTTAGTTGCAAATCTGTCATCTATTTTAATAGCTGTGTTTATGTAAATGTGTATTAGAAAACTGTATGGGCGTGTCCCACGCTCCAGATTCAAGTGCTGCGACTTAGAATGAACCACAATAGGCATTTCAGTAAAAAGAGTTGGCTTAAAGAAAAATACTAAATAAATAATCATGCAAGTGGCCTGTTAATTATGGTATGTGGGTGATTGGAATGGGGGCCATTGCCAGAATGGAAGGGAGGGAGGACAAACATGGGGCCATGAGGCTTTGGGCCCTCCTGGGAAGTGACTGGAACCCAGCTGTCTTCCATTACAGCAGGAAGGCTGTTGGCTAGATAAAAGGAAGCAGTTACAGGTTAGTGATGCCATGGCTCTCATAGTCACCTTAAGGTCTGTCTTCTTGCTGGGAGTAAGTACCACTGAGTGTCCTTCCTGGTGCCACAACCAGGAGAGGTGCCATCTGGTCTGAAACCTGGGAGGGGCCACAAACTACTCAGAGTCCAGGGAGGGAAGCAGAAGGCTGGTGTGAATGGGCCTTGTTCCACACCCTGAGCTTGTGGATACCTGTTACCCTTCCCAAGTCTGGACCACATCTGGCCACTGAGCTTCAGCAGCTGACCTTGGCCAAGCTGACAGTTCCTATGTTATGCTAGGAAGCGCACAGCATCCGCGTACAGGTCTGGGTACATAACACAACCTCATATACACACTAAGGCCTCATACGAGGCCTCCTTGGAGCCTGGGGCTCCCTGATGCCCTCACCTCCAATATCTGTCAACTCTGCTCTCCATATGCAGAGGGACCCATGGCAGTCTTTCCCTGGCCAAAGCTGATGGGCAGGCCCCAGTCTCCACTTGTTCCCTGGCTTGTGATCTTGATGCGTGGTCACCCCGCTACCCCACCCCCATCACAGCACTCGGCTCGGACCAGGTCACATACTCATCTCCCAGGTAATGGAAATGTCAGCTTGATTCATGGGCCTTTGCTGCCAGGTCTGAGGAGGCTGGCAGGAGCTGCTGCTGCAGGGAGGAAGTGAGGGCTGTACAGATCATCCTGATGCGCACTCGGACAGGCCTGGGTGCAAATCCTGCCATCTCAGACTGGTAGCTGGCCCTGTCTGAAAATGAATCAACGGAGGACCAGAGGGCATGCACACATGGAACACAGCTGCACATGGCACTACCACGGGGAAACAAGATGGAGAAACATACCCCCGCAGGAACTCACCCATGTAGCCTCAACAAGAAAGCCACAACGAGTGAGTGGGGCCAGTAGGAACTTGTAAGGAGCACAGCTCCTGTCCCCTGGCCAGTCCTTAATAGTACTCTGTTCCTACACTATCTATCACCTTTCATTTCCTGGAGGATTGGGGCCTGCTGATGGCTATGGGCCTGGCTAAGCTGTGGGATTAGGAAGAGGTAGGAAGTAGAGGTGTCTAAGGTAGGGAGAGGCCAAACTGGGACTAGGGCCACCTGGGGTGTGTCCCCCTTCCCTTCCCTCTCTGGGTAAGGAGCAAGCTGGGTGAAGAGTCTTAGAATTGGTAGAAAGGAGATCACCCTGCCACAAAGCACAGGGGTAGGAGTGGAGTGAAGGGTGGGCATAGCCCTCTGTCCAGTCAATCAACTGAGGCTGAGCACATCCTGGAACTCAGGGGCAGGCAGGGCAGTGACTTGTTGCCCTGGGAAAGAGTTCCTGCCAGTGTCATCCAGCCTGAGGTCTGTGCATTCTGCTCTCAAGTCTGTGCATCATGAAATGATGGTCACCAGGAGACGTAACTGAGTGTCTCCTGAGAGGGAGACCCTGTGAGACCCAAGTTCTGGATGCTGGGACAACTCCTGGAAGGAGATAGGTACCACTTCTGTGCAGTCTGTGTAGGGTAACCTGAGTCAGGGCCTAGACTCCTTTAAGGTTAGGTGGGGGGTGGCTCAGGAGAAGGTGCTTTGGGTTGGGGAATAGATGGTGGAACATGTCCTTGAACCCAGGTCTTCTGGCCCCAGAACCATCTCATGGCATGTAATGTGCTGGCAGAAAGGCACCTACAGCAAATGAGTATCAGTGTCCAGCACCCACAGGCCCATTTGCCTGGCAAAGGACCTCAGATATGTTGGCTACCTTTGGTTTTGTTGCTGTTATTATTGAAACAAGGCTGCCAAGAGCTGCCCTTATGCCAGGGCTGTGGCTGTGAGCTGAGCAGTTTCCAGAGAGGCCTAGAGACCACACATATAACACTTGCAATTCAGGAGACAGCCCTGGGCGCTGGTGGGCATGCAGCCCTGTGCACACTCCTCAGCCTGTAGCAGGTCCTCAGGGCTGGGGCCTCCTTGTGAACACTGTGGCCACAGACCTGTTCCTTCACATGTGCTCCTTGCCTTCATCTCCTGATTCTGAAGAAGATGAAAGTCAGGAGAACAAAGGAGCCATGGGACATCTGAAGAGCACCACCCTAGGTCATCTCTACAGCCAGCCTCGCCTGGTCTGGGTCTGGGCTGCCAGGGTGTGGACGCCTTCACTGACTCCATCACCAGATGAGGTTACTCTGTATACTCCCACCAGAGGCAGGATCTGGGCCAAGCAGGTGCTAAGGGACTGGGTGGAACCAGGGGGACAGCCTGGCCAGAGTCTGCCCCACAGAACAGAGGCCATACTTCTTACCAGTGCTGCAGTGTGTGTGTGTGTGTGTGTGTGTGTGTGTGTGTGTGTGTGTGTGTGTGTGTGTAATTAGGCACCGTTTCCTGGTGGGGCAGGAAAACTCCACAGAGAAAGTGGGCCTAGGGTCATGCCCCACCTGCAGGGGGTGGTGGGAGCAGAGCTCAAATAGACACACACATGTGTTTTCTGCAAGCCTCAGATCGACCCTGGCTTAGGGCTGGAGGCAACAAAGGCTCCCTCTGGCTGACCCCATCCAGTGTACCATATTCCATTCTTAATAACATCTTTTATTGATTTTGTA